TGTGTGTGTGTGTGTGCGCTCACGTATTTGAGTGTGTGTTTAGTGTGAAACACAAAAGAGAGAGAAAAGAGGGGCGCAGATAAAGATGGTAACAGTTAGTTGTTGATATCTGCATTGAGGCACTGTCCGGCTGTACAAGAATGGGTGAATATGTGTGTAAGCATGTGTGTGTTTTTCCAGCGAGCTGGTCATCTGTGAGGTTTGGCAGCTTCAACAGAGGAGTCACCATTCCTGAACTGGGGGAAGTCCACCAGTCTGTCTGTACAAAACTGATTCCTTGTCGTTACACTTATATGGAGTTAAATCATCATTTTTAGTTTCTTTCCAGGCAGGCAGACAGCTATTAAAGTTCCTCTGTCAGATAGCCATCGTTGCAAAAATGTTTTACGGAGGCTTTAATAAATTAGGTTAATGATACAAAAACATGTGTTCTGTAGCTGATTTGATGGAAATGTTTTTGTTTTTTCAAGGGAAATACAGCCCAAAATTCACATGGGACTACTGTTGCTTTGGGTCTGTAATTTGTGTTAATTTAAGTCATCTGTGTTCTCATGTCTGTAATTTGTAAAAATATTAAAAGTTAAAGTCTTGTCATCTGGAAATATCGGTCACATGAATCAGCAATTTGGAATTGTAATTTTAAACAAGGCTTGCTTGGTTTTACTCTACCATTTTTTCCTCTGTTAAGATGAGAATTATGGAGGCTGCTGTGGGCTTTTAAGCCTTGATAGCAATTAGGGTGCAAAATCAAGAGGTGCATGTAGCTGCTCAGGAGGGACACCCACTCAGAGAGGGAGCCAATCAGCACACTTATTTATTGCATACAAATGAAAGAAGTGTGAGAGGTAAATTCCACAAACATAAAAGTTGCCCTTGTACTTCTACACCATTGGTAATAGGCCTTGTATTAAGTGTTTATATTCCCTGTGGGAATATAAACACTGCTTTTCCCTTAGCCTTTCCACTGGGGTGGTTAAGTGCCTTGCTCAATGGCTCCATCTTGAGGCAGGGTAAGGTTCTACTCCATCACTTCTGATGTATGAGTTCTAACTTGACAGCCTGTTGGATCTGAGCTCCTCGAGGCCAGAAGGTGAAAACTGCGCTCCATCTGGTATTACGGGACAATGATAAATGGGTTAATCCCTCAAGTGTAATGAGTTAACCCCATGAAATTTGCATGTGCGTGTGTGTGTGTGTGTTATTTTAATGGTTTACCCTCTACTGTGTTTGTATTATGTAGCTGATTAACCTGTGATGCTTCTGCGTATAATTAGATTATTAGCAGGCTGCTTTATGTCCTCTGTCATCAAGGTGGCATGCTGAGGATGCCAAGGTAAGAAGTACAAAATGTAGATTTATTTGTGTACTGTACAAAGTACACTTAGGTACTTTACTCACTTAAACCTCTACCCAGTTTAGAGAGTGTGGATTCAAATGTAGTGCTGCAAACACAACGCCTGCTAACGATTCCAAACAGGTTGTAGGTCTGTGATTGGCGATAAAGGCTTATGTAAGCTTGTGTGTCTGTGTTTTTGTGTGTTCCCATTTCCCACCCTATAGGCCAGTTCATGAATATTCTCTACGATGTCTTTGTTATTGCCTGTAGTGGATTTGGATCAGAATATGGGTTTTGTTCCAGACTGGAAACACAGATAAACACACACATTCACACATATGCACGCGCCCGCAGGCACTCACTCACACACACACACATACTGTATACGCACACCGTGTCCTGCTTCATAGCCCTGTGACCTCAGATATTAGCTTCCCTGCCAAATATGACTGAGGCCAAGTGCCACAATAAATACACACAAAAAAACACAGTCACACACACTCTCTCTCCATACTGAGTCTTACTGGAGCATTTGGCTGGTCAATAATAGGAGCTATTCAGCTTCAGAGAAAGAAATCACTGGCTTGTCTTTGTGCATCGACAGAATGATGTTACAGTTTACAGGCTGGTTTATTGCTGCTCACTTAATCAGACATCGGAAGGTTTAGAAGGAAAACGACAACAGGAACATAAATATCTATGTGTTGTTATGGTGCTTAGTGTATGTGCTGTTTCAGTCGTGGCATATCGGCATGTTCATTGTACTCACTGTACTGATTTCTGACTGGTTTCTCTTGGCTTCAGTCAATACCACCAGAGCTGGTTAGATTGGTTTCTTTACTGTGTATTGTTGAGGGAATTAACAGAAGGTGTTGAAGGTGTTCATATGCAGCAGCAGACATATCTTTCTGTTAAAATCATCGCTCCTTCTTCATTGTTATTTTCTTTCTCAGTTTCTTTTTTCATTGCATCTGGTCTCAGATGATTCTTCTAATGTCTCAGACTTGTCAACATGCTTTTTCTGTACAACTTTAAAGACTATCGTACTTTTCAATTCACTTTTAAATTCAGCCAACAACGTGAACAGAACATTAAAGTGCTCCTTTTTAATTATTTTTTTATAGGCTGAATAGGCTAACCTTTAACTGCTGCTTTGTACAGTAGATATTTGATGAAAATTGAATTATTGGATAGGCTGAATTTACAGTGAATTTTCCTGGTTTCCTACAAGCATCAAAATTGAAATAATCTTATTTATAAATGTAACTTTTAAGAAACTAGACACATACAATTGTCCACTGCATGGGAGTATATTGTCAAATAGTCTTAGAAAATGGAAAGCAAAGTTTGCTAAAGTACTGAAATGGCAAACCTGCTGCAGGATCCTCAAAGTTTCCAAATTCATGATTGTTCATCTGCCAAAATGATTAATGGAGTTGATAAACTCTCCAGCCACTTTCAGCCTTCATTTAGCTTTTACCATCAAAGTGACAACGTTTTTTTTTTGTAAGGCTGATATCAGGCTGGAGCGGCAGATTGAATTGAGCCTTGATCAGGACTGCAGGCTGGCAGAGCGAGGAGTTTATCAGATCAATCTTGTCAGACAAATGTGAGCTGTTCCGATAACACCAAAGATTAATCTGACATCAGATGTTATGGTTAGATGAGGTGAAAATGTACAAACTTTTCTTTTTTCCTGCTTAAAGGTAAAACAGCCTCAAAAACAGCAGAGGACGCAGAGCAGTAGAGTAGTTTTTTTTAATGCTACCTGATAACTAGACGTTGTTGGAGGTAAAAAAAATGCCTTTGTGTCTTGAGCTTTAGGTGCTTGTGGGAAATCCAAACGCTGCTTTTTTTCTGTTTCCTCTTGGTTTTCCAGTTTCCAGCCTGTCCTTTCCTCACTTTTTCTGCCTTCTCTTCTGCCCTCCTCTTTTCCTTCCTCCCCCTCCCTCCTCCTCTTCAGTAAAACCATCAAGGTGAAAGTAATCGACGACGAGGAGTACGAGAAGAACAAAACCTTCTACATAGAGATCGGAGAGCCTCGCCTGGTGGAGAGCAACGACACCAAAGGTCAGGAAGGGGGTGACCCCTGTGACCCTGTGACCCCAGAGTGTCCACCACGGTGTCCACAGAGGCTGCATGTTCTTGACACATGGGGGCAGGAGGAGATTTAGATTTTTGCTACTGTACACCCTGATGTGTCCTTACTATGACAGTGAACATGCAGCAGGTTGTGGGTCACACTCATCTCACCACATCCACCTCTCCACCTCGTATATGTGTGTGTGCGCGCGTGTGTTTTTTTTGGATTTGTTTTTTTTGTGTACATACCTTGCCATGTCATTTGTTTATCATGCATGCATTCACCTCCTCCCTCTATGTGTGTGTGTATGTGTGTGTCCCATACAGGAAGACCATAACCGTTAGGATCTTAGACCGGGAAGAGTACAATAAGCAGTCCTCCTTCTACGTTCTACTTGAAACGCCCCAATGGAGACGCAGCGGGAAGGAATGGACAGGTGTGACGGCCAATCAACACTGAGAATGCACCTCATGAGGTTTTAGAGAATCCTGAATCAACAGGCCATTAACTTTGTATTAACTTTATTGATACAACACAACATTAAGTCACACCACAGTCAGTTCATGACTGATTTGCTAATGCCGTTGCTGTGTTGTCAACGGAAGTGTGTCCTGATAATACATAGGGCAACTAATTCTAAGCCGTGTTCTAGTGTGTTCCCACTGTTTTGATGCATTCTTAAAATACACATATTGACAGATTGACATTAGACAGTGCAAGTCTTGTCATTTCCTGTTAGTATAAAACAGTTAAGTGTGTTCATTTCTTGTGTACTAACTAAAAAGGACACTATAAGGATTAGTATTACTAGATACTGTACAGAGTTAATATTTTAAAGACCAAAACTTCAACAATAGACTGCCTCTACTGTTTGATTGATGGGCAATTTCATGGAAGTGCAGCACAGAACTGCCACAAATCTCCAAAAATGGAGACAAAGGCAAGAGACAACTAGGACATTACTGGTTAGATGACATTACAGAGTAGGTGTGATATTCGTCTGAGTGGACTTAGTGCAATTTGAATCACATTTATTTTATGCAAAGCCTAATACAATTGACCAGACAAGAGCACTTTAAAGTTGGCAAGACATACAGCACTTAACAGCTGGCAAAGCTGCAAGAAATAGAATCAAAGCATCAGTCGCTCTTATACCATATTTCTGAAGTGACAAAATGCAGTGCTGCTCCCTAATCGCTTATGTTTAAACAGGCCTGTTGATTCGGGATTCAGGTTGAACACACACTGGAGCAATTCTGCTGCTCCCTTCTGTTTTTCTTTCTTTTTTTTCTACTTTTCTTCCTCTGTTTCTCCTCAGAGGTCTGTACAGAAAACTCAGTGGGGATCACACCTGTCCTCTCCTTTCTCCTCCTTTTCCTTTCTGTGACCTGTTCTTATCTTGTTTCCCCCTCATCCAGCCAAGAGCTTTTCATGCGTTGAGATCTGTTCTCTGCTGGTGTTTGAAAATGTCACTGCTCTTTTCAAAGTGCTCACACGCAACTCGATGGTGGATTGTTGGCATGAAAAAAGACATATAGAGATAATGCCCAAGAGGGTATTCATTGTGAGTATGATGTGAGCAGTATTCCACCAAAAATGTCCCTAAGTCAAAGTTTCAAGTTTATTTAGTCTCCTGTGTCAATAGGGAAGTAATTAACACCCATAGCACAGGGATATCACACAGTGATATAGTGTGTATGCAGAGTTTTAGACAAATAGCATAAGAGAAAACATTGTCATGAAACTGCTGAGTGTTGTGGGTATAATGGGTTTTATGCAATATTATCAGCAGTAATACCTACATAAAAAGAAAGAATAAAACAAAGAAAGGTTCTACAATAATAAGATTGGGGAAACTATTAAAACTTCATTAGATTATCTGAAAAATGCATTGTCACAAAGCTGACAACAAGTTGGTTGTTACAGGAGTGGCATAGCAAACAAAGAGCCAAAGGATGGCCGTCAAATAAAGAATATTTAAATAAGAAATATAGCCTAAATCACAATATAAAGAGACATAATGGATAAAATGCACATTGTCTTCAGTCTCATCTGAATCATGCAACAATTAAAGCCTTTCTTCTTCAGAGAGACCAATTAAATCTTCCTGTTTCTAGAGCTAATGGTTTAGTTACACCATTATGTAACACATCGTCAGATAAATTGTACAAATTGGTCCAATGAAGACAGTAAAGACTATTCAAATCTGACCAGGTCCCCATTGTCTCTTTACTGTGCATTATATATTATTATACAATACATTTTATATAAAAAAAATGTTCAGAAAATAATGAGGTTATGATTATTTTAATTTAAGTTACACATGTACTGATCATTTTGAAACATGGTGTATGTTAGTGTTTTCAGAAGTGGCCTGTGTGTGTAGTTGTGTGTGTGTGTGTTTGTGTGTGTTTGTGTGTCAACAGTAAGATGCCACATCTGTGCATCTGTTTTCCACTGTGTTAATACATTATCTCATCTGAGTTACTCATATCCCTCCATTTATTATGATTTAATGTAATATAGAGTTGTAAACGCAGGAGATTTTCCACTTGATTTTTACTGCCTCTCAAACACATACACACACGAACAAATGTAAATATAATTTTGAAGCAAATAGCAGTTTATCTTTAAAAATATTAGTGTTTTAACTGAAATGACCCACAAACCAAATGTATGTTAATGTGACGTGGTAAACCAGTCCTTCCCTGTGTTTCCAGGTCATTATCTAAAAAGCCTTTTATGCCCTTAAACTATACTTTAAGCCTACTGGGTCTTTAAAAGTACCTCTATCTCTGTCTCTGTTTTATACACACACACACACACACACATAGACAGAGCAGTGCAATCAGTGTGTTAATGGCAGCGTGTGTTTACCAGGCATCAGCAGTGTTTATAGTGATGAGGGGATCAAAGACAAGGGCTGGATATCACATTATCACAGTCATGAGATCAAACACACCTCCGGGAAAGAGAGAGACCGACACACAGACGAACATACACAGTTAAGGGGGCTGCAGTGTGTTTGTGTGTTTTATGAACCGATGCAGTGGTTATCTCTGCGCTCAATTAGCCGTGCACTGATCTTCATGTTCTCGGCTCATGAGTGTGTGTCCATGTCAATGTGTATTTGTGCATGTTCTGTATGTGTGTGTACTGTACGTAGACATACTTATCATCATGTACTCGCTTACTGATACATGTGTTTGTGTCGTCTGTGTATGTGTGTTTTGAGTCCAGTCTTCTATTTGATGGTGGCTGGGGGACTAAGTTTTAGAATTTGGGTGACAGTGAACCCATGGTTATGATCATGTACTTGTAATAGTAAAAGTAATTGTGATGGTTCACAAATTAGTATACTAATCAATACCATAGTTTGCAATTACTGTGTAAAGAGTAAACAACCAGTCATGAACTAAATTAATTTCACCACAGCTTTTTATATGTAAACAGTTTGTACATAGCAACACATATTTATCCTTACAGTTAATGATTAATGCTAAAAGATACTTTTAATAAATTGGTGATTTTACACTAATAAAAACATACCTATGAATATCATATGCCAATAGAGCCACACCCACAACATTGTTAGCTCTTACAGTTGGACGGACATATTTTATCTATATAACATATTTGCCTTTTATAGCTGCGACAGAGGAATCTGTAAATGGACACTGAAGTGATAGCAGTCTGTGTTCCGACTGGGATTTTCATGTTTTTCTATCTCTAGTTCTCTATTAGCGCTAAGGATGTGCTTTCAGTAAATTAACTCTTTTCACACAGAGAGCACAGCAAAGAGACTCTGGAACATAGAATTGATTTTCTCAATGCATTTTGGCACAGGACCACAAATTTCAAATAGGCTTTTAAGCATCCTGCCACAGAGAGAGTGGCTGAAACCCGACCAAAAGAGACACGTTCACTCTGTTGATTAATGTGTAAATTGTACCTTTACATATAAATTCCAGAAAATAGCTTTAACATTCAGGCTGTGTAATACTGAGAAAACAGCCAGCTTTTGTTATTGGAATCCAGCAAGGTCCCGTTTCATCTTCTATCAAACCGGCACTTCAAGTGCCTCTCAGCCAGAGATAAAAGCCTGATTTTATTTTCCAGTTGTTTTGGTTGTTTCAATTTTATTGCTTCTTTTTGCTGTAAGCAACAGAGGTTGACAGGATTAATGTACTGACTAAACAAGCACTGGATCTGACATTTGCTATACTGATATGAGAAGTTACACATTGCGCAGTTAGAAAGATGGAAAGGGAACCATTGTAGTTCAGTCACTTCTCATGTAGCTGTTTGACTTTACTGAAAACTGGAAAGGTGTGAATGAGTAACAAGGCTTTTACTGATAGCAGCGCTGAATGGCCAGTTGAGGGCTGTTGCCGTTTATGTGATATCATGCAGCTTAAAAACTCCATTTCCATTATGCAGAGTGACTTTTAGAGTAAGCAGGTAGAAGGTTCAACGTCTTTTTGAAAAGTACTTCGACAACTACTAAAATCTTCTAATTCAAGCAAATGTACCAAGCGTTTGGCCAGTCGGCGTGTTAGTCATCTAACACAGATACCAAAATCCGCTTATGGGTATGCTAATCAGTTTTTCTTTTGGTTTGAGCTTTACAACTATTACTTCCACTGGAAAGTAGTCCCTGCTGCAGAGCATTTGTATCCTTTTAAGATAATTCTTACCATTTTATCTCCCAAAGCTGCTTCCCCACAAATAATTAATGAGAAAATATAGCCATAGCTGCTACAACTTCCCATTTGTTCATGAGAGAATGAATAGGCTTGTGATTTATTTTTCCATTAACCTATTTCATCCTCCTCTATTTCTGTTTGGAGTTTTTCTTTATGTCCTCCAATGCCATCTTAACAACCCCCAGAGAGCAGGTGTAAACCTGTATCTAGCTTTTGTTTGTTTGTGCAGTTGGTGCTAGATGTAGTGCAGGCAGATGCAGTCATTTAGCAGTGCTGTTGAGGGTGCATAGGGTGGATGTTTCTTCTTTAAAGAAATAAAATCCATCTCTGACTTCCTCAGTCACTTCTTTCATGTAGGAGTTTTTTTCTGGAGGTAAAATCTGAATCCACTGGAGGCTTTAGAAGTTTCAAGATGACCCTGTGATATTGCAGGTTTTTTTGATTTGGTCCAGAGGAGCCTCAGGACAGCGGGAGGCAATGGAGAGTTCACTGCAGCTAGTCAACCTCCGTCAGTCATCCGGCTGGGAGACTGTGCAACATGGGGGAAGGAACAGTGCTGAGAGGGAAAGCAGCTGAAAACACACGCACCCTGTGGAGGGCAATGACCTTGTGTCACACACAATGGACACACACACAAACGGACACAAAAAATATACACTGTAGATTAACATACATTGCAACATGTGACCATCGCAAAGTTGGATATGTGTGCCTGTGCGTGAATATGTCA